CTTCTCAGTATTGAAAAGTTTCATTGCGTGGGGCGTAACATCATTCCCTGGATTAATCCACTCAGAAACCACGATCTTACGCTTCTGGATTACGGATAGAGCGCGTGAACAATACGCCATGAGAGATCCAAGTACAAGTTTGTTTCTGGACCGACACCATAACAAGCCATTGTTGTCACCCTCTACAGCGCTTGTTGTGCGAACTCCAAATAATGGTAGAGGCTCACCATGGGTAGGAGTATTTTTCCAAACGCTGTCACGCCATTTTAAATCTTCTAGTGTGGGCTGCATATTACCGACGAGAGACGAATCTGTAGGATGAATTTTGCACAAGTAGTTCCACACGTAGTCGTTATCTGGAACGCCATTCAACAACTTCGCAATACCCACCGGGTATCGCGTTTCTATCATTTTCAAGCCTTGGTCAAAGCCCTTTGTAGCGGAAGCACCCTGTAAAGCCAAAATATTATCCTGTACTGCCTGCGAATTCAACTTCAACTGTTTAAACTTATCCATTGTATTGAATCGAATGTGAAGTGAGCAAAACTTCAGGTGGACTTTTAAACACAGCTGCTTCAGCAGTGCCTGAGCACCTAGTTGTTTTCCTCGATCGCAAAAGGTCGGTTGATCGTGCATTTTCAAACCTGCAACAATACAGTTGCAGAAGAACCAAGCGAAATTGTCGACAGTCTCTTTATGAACAAACGCAATCGCAACAGGAATGTTTACTTTGTTACCATCTTTGCCAATGAGAGTTAAACAAATCCCATTGTAGTCGACATCCTTCATATGAGTACCATCACTTTCCCAAACCGGTAAAAAGGCATCTTGAGCTAGCACCACCGAGCCAATAGTCAAGAAAGACCTAAAAACATCTCCCACAAGAGTCCAATTGACAGGAAACACGCGATCCAGCGTTTTTACGTTCGAAGACCTGAAAAAAACTGGGAAGACGTCCGTATTCTACAGTTGGATCAACCTTTTGCTTTTCCTTTTCGCTCTGAATTGCTCTGTAAACAAGAGCAGGCTGCTTTTGCATGTCGACTCCGTGAAATGTCTTGACGTTGTTTACCACACGCTTCATTGAAGTACTATGGCCTTATATAATTGCTGCCTTAAATCCAGGTTGCTCCACTAAATACTTGCTTGTCATCTCGACGACACTGTTACAGAACTGAGAATGTTGTAGATCCAGCTTTGAAATATACCACGCATTATCAGGAACGTGAGATAGCTTGTTTTGGTTTTTTTTTTACGTCCACGGAAACCTCTGAGCCTTTAGCCGTTGTTTCACGTTTCCGAGATAAGGTTAACCACGGACATTCTTCAGCGGTGCTAGTACAAAGTCACTTTTTATAATTTCCGGTGCCCTAGTTACGTTTTACACTTTTTCCCTCGTTGAAGGCGTACGATCTGACAAACGAGCCCGCTTCTTCCAAGGTCGCAAAGTGAATGGAGATTTCGGGCTTTTCATGTCCAAACTGAAAAGCTAGGTCAAGTTTGATAGTTGATCCATGTGAAGTGGCACTCATGGTATCGTGGTTGTGTTGGTTGGTAGTTTGGTCTGTGCTTTCTCTTGGTTTCATTTATAAATTCTAAAAATAAAAAAATAATTATATTTTCAGCGAATGGAATTACAGATTTCCCCGGCAAATCCACAACTGCAGTCGTTGATATTTCTCGTGCAGTCAGTGATCAGACGCGAAGAGAGATGGGCAGCACTAGACAGGACGCGTA